CTGAGGACCTCTGAAACATCCTGGATCTTCCCTAAACCACCCTAAAACACCTTTGTGCTTCCCTAAATGTCCCCGAGCGCCTCTAAAACGTCCCTGATAGGTTTTAAAACAGCCCTGAGCTGCCCTAAACCACCCCCAATCTGCTCTAAGCCATCCCTGAGCTGTCCTAAAACATCTCTGAGCTCATCCAAAGCATCCCTGAGCATCTGTAAATCATCTCTGCAGCACTCCCAGCTGCTCTGCACCCTCCAGGCAGCTCCAGAGTGCCCCAAAGGTTTCCCTAAACACCTCTGAAACATCCTTACAAAAATTCCTCTGAAACCTCAACCTTCAGCAGCTTCAAGCTGCTCAAGAAATGGGGGAAATAAACAACTCTGGGGTACTTCTGTGGTGCAGGGTGGCTTGAAGGGGCTGTAAATCACCTTTGAGCAGCTCAGAGCTCTGGAAGGACGGAGCTCTGGCCAGTGCTGAGCCACTTGAAGTGCTCAAACAGCTCTGGTGCTCCTCCAACCAGCCCTGAAAGGCACCAAGGTGCTCAAACTGCCTCGAAGTAGCACTTGAAGCCCTCTAAACTCTCCTCAAACTCCTCGAAATAGCCCAGAATGGTTCAGAGAGAAGGTCTTGTGGCAGCTCCGAAGCTCTCCAAGCCTCCTCTGTGCAGCTGTGAAACTCCTTGAGTGCCCCAACAGCCTCCAAAAGGTCCTTGAAACCCCTCTGGACCTTYCTCATGCACCTCTCAGCAGTGTTAAAGCTTTTCAGTAATGTCTCCAAACCCAAAACAGTTTGAATCCACCCTAAACCTCCTCTCAGCCATGTCAGAGGAGCACAAGCAACCCTAAAACAGCTCCAAAGCTGCCTGAAAACTCATCAAAAAACAATCAGAGCTCCTCCAAAGCATTCCAGCTCTTCTGCACCTCCTCTGAAAAGGGCTCTAAATGGCCTGAAATCCCTCCAACCTCCTTGAAATTGCTCCAGAAAAGTCCTGAAGCTCTGGAGGTCTCTGGATCCTCCAGAACAGCTCCAGAGCTGGTCCCAGCCTGGCTCCTGCTGTGCTGCAGCTCTTCCACCCAGCTCAGGGGACAGCAAACCTCAACTCCTGGGGTCTTCTTTGGGCCCCTCATGACAAGGGGGACATTGAGGGACTGGAGCGTGTCCAGGGCAGGGAATGGAGCTGGGGAAGGGGCTGGAGCCCCAGGAGCAGCTGAGGGAGCTGGGAAAGGGGCTCAGCCTGGAGCAAAGGAGGCTCMGGGGGGACCTTGTGGCTCTGAACAACTCCCTGACAGGAGGGGGCAGCCGGGGGGGATCGGGCTCTGCTCCAGGGAACAGGGACAGGAGGAGAGGGAACGGCCTCAGGCTGGGCCAGGGGAGGTTTAGGTTGGATATTGGGAAAATTCCTTCATGGAAAGGGTGGTCAGGCATTGGCACAGCTGCTCAGGGCAGTGGTGGAGTCACCATCCCTGGAGGGATTTAAAAGCTGTGTGGATGTGGCACCTGGGGACAGGGGTCAGTGTTGACCTTGGCAGTGCTGGGGGACATTGGACTCGTGTTCTTAGAGGGCTTTTCCAACCTGAACARTCCTGTGGTTCCGTGAGCCAGCAGCACCCCCAAAGCCTGGCCACACCCATGGCCACCATGTCCACGTGCCCTGACCATGTCCCCACAGCCCGACAGACCCAGCAGAGCCCCATGGCCGTGTCCCGGCTGTGCCCCCCCTCCAGCCAGGGCAGGAACGAGCTCCAGCCACCGGGTGTTCCCTGCAGAGGGTGGGGAGGGGTGGAGGAAGGAATCACATCTCCTGCCCCTTCCACCCCGGAT